AAGAGAGGTAGTTAGATTAAAGCGTGAGTGGTATTTAGATTATAACGTGATAACAAAATCATACATATGAGAAAAATGCAAATACTAAGAAAGGTATAAATATATAACTAGAATGCGAACAGAGGTAACATCAAAATAAAGAGGTAGATTCAAGAGTGGTAACCAGGTTATGTATTCAGATTAAAGCATGGTGATCAGGTTGTAGTCATTAGATTATAACATGGTATTTAGATTATAGTGTGATATTTAGATTTAAGTGTAATATTTAGATTATAGTGTGGTATTTAGATTATAGTGTGATATTTAGATTATAGCGCGATATTCAGACTATAGCATGGTATTTAGATTATAACGTGGTACTATAACCTAGTCTAAGTGGGATACCACGCTTTAATATAATTATATTAAAGCGTGATATCTCACTAATATATTTTATACAAATGATTTTGTACTAGTCACTTTAATTTACTATCAAAATAATAAATCATTTTTAAAGTAATAAAAACTGATCCTTTCTGAAATAATCTTTTTAAAAAATATTATAAATATTACTATTAAGAATAACAATTATTTTAAATATTTTTAATAACTAAATATATAATCAATTTTATATTTAATCAAGTTATCAAAAAAGTGTATTTGTTTAAAAATATTGTACAAATTAAATATTATTAATATATTAATGAAAGTTTAATAAATAATAAATAAATTATAAATGTAAAAGAATTTTCTATTAATTTTTATTTTACTAATGCTAATAATAAAAATCAAAAATCAGAATTTAAGCAAACTTACATAAGTAAATAAATTTATTAATACATTTATATAACTAAATTTAAAGCATAATTTAAAACTAGTTTATGCATATTTTTGAATATAGATTTAGAAGTAAATCAAACTATTTAAGCAAAATCATATTCTTATAAAATAATAAATTCAAATAGTATTAAATAAAACTAAAATTACATTTTGTTTAATTTTTCAAAAATAATCACTAATAATTGCTTCATATTTAGTTCATTATTTAAGTGTTAATTTTCTTTTTATATAAATTTGTAAAAATTTTTGTTATAATTCTTATTAGTTAATAATTTGCAAATGTATTCTATTAATTCTTTAAACTTTTTTACATACTTTTATTAAGAAATATAAATATTTAAATGAAAATTATAAAAGACTTATATATTTATATCTACTTATATAAATATAATTCATAAGTTTATTAATATAAAATAATATATATATTTCTAAGAATTATAATTTGCATTTTAGATAGTAATTTTTATAGTAATTTAAGTTTAACTAATCTGTTAGATCAAAAATTTCAAATTTTAAAGTATAATAAGAATTTTGTATTTTTAATATTTTGAAACATGTTTATAATTTATATATATCTTTTAATTTTTCATAATATTTTTAATTAAATTTATAAATTGTTTGTAATTTAATATAAAAATTAATTAATTGACAAAAAAGAAGAAATAGCTATAAAAAAAACTAATATAATATAATTCATTACTAATGATAAAAATTGCTTTATGATAATGTAAATAAGTTTTTAAATAGATTTGATGATAAAAAATAGAACAGAAAAGTATAAGAATAAATATTTAGTATTATTAACAAATATAACAAAGAGATAAGAATTTAAACTATATTATTTTTATAGTACTATATAATTTTTATAAGAGTATATTAGATAAGTAAGTATTAAGATAAATAAGTTTATCTTTATTTATATCAAATTGACTAAGATTTGAAAATGCATCAAATTTATTTAGTGAAATAGAAAAGTAAACTAGCTTTCTCTAATATATAATAAAAATCAATAACATGATCAAATATAGGTTTTGATAAAATGATTAAAATTATAAAATTCTTTTACAAAATGAAATAAGTAATGAAATTAAAAATTATGATGATCAAATAATTCATAATAAAATGAAAATAAAAGTTAATTTATTTGATGATTCTATGAATTTTTTTATATCGATGATAATTTAAAAGTAACAAAAGATTAATTAATAAAAAAAATTATATTTATGTAAAATCTAAAAATAATAAATTAGAAATAGATTTAAATAGAAGATCTTCAAAAATAATTTTAAGTAAAGAAACTTTGGATTATTTTAGATGATCTTATTTTATTTTTTAAATATTTATCAAATATTTATTTTAATCTATATAGAACTTTAAAAAATGTATAAATTTTTGTTTAAGTAAAGTCTAACTTAATAAATAATACTAAATTAATAGTTTTAACTTATAATTCAATTTAACTCAGATCATAAATCTAAATTAATTAAATATTTAAGAAATCGAATATCAACATTATATATTAATAATATAAAATAAAATTAAATAGGTTTATTTAATAATACAATTATTCTGATATTCTAATGTAATAATAAATTTTAATTATTATATCACTAATTATCAATTTATTTATTTATTATTTATTTGAGATTTTATTATATAGCAATTACAGTAAAATTTTTATATTGATATTAATCAATATAAATATAAACATATTAGTTTTAAAATTTTTATAAATACTATAGTATAAAAATATAAAATTTATATATTTTTTTATTATTATTATATTAAATACTATAAAATAAAAATTTTAAGTTAAAAGAGTATGATGAAAAAAAAAATAAAGTAAAAAATTTTATATAAATAAAGTTTAACCAATTTAATTTACATTTAATTCAAAATGTAAAAATTATGTTAAATAATAAATTATTAATAAATTGAAATTATAAAACTCTATCTATTAAATACATTGGATTTTTTTTTATTTAATCAAATTACTAATATTATAAAAGATTTCTATCAACAAAATAGATTCCTTCTTGAGCGATCCATTCAGTATCTTGACCTAATCTCTTGCTAGCAGAAACTTCAATTTGTCCATGAATAGGTTTATTATATATATATTCTTTATTAGCTGATAAATATGAAGAGGTTTCTAAATGCATAAATTGAACTTTTTGTTCTCTTAACCAATATATTGAAGATTTATTTAAACAGGTTAATTTCCAATTATCTCCTATAAAATATTTCAATTTAAAAGTAAATTTGTTAATTGAACATCTTTTCTTTTTATAAAATAAAATGTATAGATTTAAATTACCTGTATCAAATCCTTCAAATGCGCTAACTTCTTGTTGTTGTGATATTGGCGAATGGTGATAATGACTGTGTAAAAATTTACCAGTACCTGAATGCTGTAACCTGATAATTGACCCGCATTTAATTGGTTCTCTAAGAAAATGATCATTTAAATAAGAAATGTGTATATAGATAAAAAGACATTTATAAGAAGTATGTATCATTTCCAACATTACCCTCTTAGACATGATGCACCATGAGCTCCTTTTACAATCCAAAGTGAATCTGGATCGTCGGCATTTAGAAGTCCCGTAACACTTTGTTGTCCTGATCCACTACCTAAAAAATAATTATAAGAATTCATTATATTTCTTTAACAAATTTTTTTTTTGATTTGTAATTACCATATGCTATAGCATGCGAATGTAATTTATAATTAGAGGGGCTATGTGTCATTTTGACTGCAGAACCACATGTAACTATAATTAAGGTTAATATCGTTAATAAATCAAATTTAAGATATTGAAAAAAAAAATCACGAATAATTAATTACCTTTTTCGAATTCTGATAAAATTCATAATTATAAATGATAAAATTAACAAAATTTTGTTGTAAAAACATTAACGCGTTAAATTAAAGAATTTTAATCCCAAGATACGAAACCTTCTTCAATTTCCATAAATTGACTATTTGTCATAACTAATAATATTACTAGGAAGATTGTTGATATACCGAAAATTATCTTGAACAACATTTTTTAAAAATTAATTTAATTAATGATTTTGTATTCTATGAATTCTTAGAATCCAAACAAACTATCAAACTAGCTGTTCAGAAACTAACTGTATGTGAAAAATAGAAGTTAAAAATTTTTCTACTTTTACTACTTTTAGATACTTGGCCGATTGCGATTGGTCAATTGAAAATTTAGATTTTATTGGATGACAATTTATGTCGTACAAGTATCACATATTTATTTAATAATCTCTTCCCAAAATAACTTTACATTAATTATTATTTAATTTTTTTAAAGAAAATTCTAATTCTGTCCATAAATTTTTTTGTCTTCTTTCTTTCTCTTTTGAAATGTATTATTCTTAATTAAAAAAAATTATTTTTTGCATAAATTAAAATATTTAAAATATCATAAAATATTTAGGATGTGTGAAAAAAAATATTCTTAATTAAAAAAAATTATTTTTTGCATAAATTAAAATATTTAAAATATCATAAAATATTTAGGATGTGTGAAAAAAAAAAATCTTATGACAATCGTAATAACGACCGAATTTACATAATGTAACAAGCATATTTGTTAGTACTAAATTGACATCTTGCTAGCATATCCATTTCCTCTTTAGCTGCTTCTTTATCAACCTCTGCTTGTTTGGCTTTAACTTCTTTTGGGAAATATAGTTTTAAAAAATTCCGTAAAGGCTTATCTAAATTGCCTTTATTAATTTCAATTAGAATATATTGTACAAGGTTATAAACTTTTATCGCGCCATAAATCATTGAACTTACTTGCGTTTGCATTATAAATAGAATCTCTGGATCGACAAATTGGACAATTGCGCATTCCTTTACGTTCAGCTTTAATAAGACAATTTATACAAAATACGTGTCCACAACTTAATCGAATTGGTTTCCAATAAATTACTATATTATTGTGAGAAAAGTCGTAAGAAAAAAAAAATTTGTTTCCGCTTGGTATATTCAAGTTACAAGCAAAAAAAAATCTTACAAGTGCAAATCGGACAAGTATGATCTTCGGGTTGTGGAATAACTGTCGATAATTGATTCTATAAAATTGGAGGTTATAAGTAATTGGATTTTAGGAAAAGCAAATAAACGAATAAAAAACACTTACATTCATTGTAAAACACAGAGATTTAAACATATTTTTGATAATATATGGATCGTTCTCCAATAACTTTTCAAAGCTAGGACTGGCACTATGAATTTAATTATATCCAAAGCAATATGATTAAAGAGTCTTGGTGAACTTCATTCATTTTCCGAATATATTTTACTTTCGATGTAGTGAAAATGGGCATACGTACGCTAAACACGTTTGTTTATCGTGTTTTTTAAGGATCTTAGACATGGCGGTTTCGTTGAGAGATTGAAAATGTTTCATAGCGATCAAATCATTATTTATCTATCAAAGATTTAATAAATGATAAGTATGTTTGGCGCGCCACTTATCTAAACTAAATATTTGTAATTTAAACCTACTCTTAAAAATTCGTGAAAGGCTTCTCGCGAGGAATTTAATTTGAATTTACTAGTCTAAAAGCATTTTCGATATAAGAATTTGTTATGAAAAATAATATAATAAATGTATCAAGTATGATTATAATTACCAATTCAGTTCTAAACAATTCGTCAACAAACCATTTGAATTGATCTTGAGCGTTTTTGCAGCTACGTTCATTACGATCTGATTCAGTGTTCCCAACAAAAATTTCTGCCTGAAAATAAAATTGGAAAACCTTGCGCCATGTATATATATCGCTCTTGTATGGGGAAGTCTTTATGAAACAGATAAACATATTCTTAGCCTAGATAGTTGTGATTAGTTGACCGAGAAAAACGAAACTTACCACATTGATCAACAGTTCACGCAATCGATCCATATTATTTACAAATTCATCTTGTTTTTGTTGCTGTAGGTGTTTAAATTGCGAGATTTCTTCAAATAGCGTATTGAAAAATTCGCCATCGGTTTCAAGTTTAATATACGTTATTCTAAAAAGCAACCAACATTAACTTAAAAATTCGACACAAAGAAATATATAAATAAAATAAGATATTACCTGCGCGATTGATCAATTGATTCGGGATGTGGACTAATGGAATCGCTAGAAATGACGTCCGTAACGTAATCATGTGGGTCAGAATTAGTTTCCGTATCATTTGAATCGGTTGTGCGCAAGGAAAGTAATGACGACACGGAACCAGAATCACATCTTGTGAACTCGGTGTGAGTGGTTTCGAGAATATGTTGGATATCAGGAGAATGTTCATGAGCATCCAAGTTTAGAATAATATAGGGTCGAATTTGAATTGGATTGGCTATATAAAAATTAAATAATTGTAAAAAAAAAAAAAAAAAAAAAAAAAAAGGAAAAAGAAAACAAAAAAAGAAAAAAATTAATATAATTTCTCTTCACCTTCAAAGGAGTATTCCATTTTGTACCCTTCCGCAGCATCCAGCATGGTTTTGAGAACGTTTCGAGAAATTCCTTTATCGTTTAGTTCTTGAACGATTTTATGAATACATCTCTTTAACGTTTTGTACTGAATGACGAAAGGTCTCCATTCGGAAGGAATGTCCTCAATAGTTCGTCCTAAACTCTTGCCGAATTTCATTATTAAAGAATAAGGATGTTTGGTTGTGGTAAAATGAAATGAGATTTAAAATATTGGATGCGAATTAGGAATTTTTGTCTATGAGAAAAGAAAGTTTAATGAATGTGGGTTTTTTAAATGTGAAATTTTTTTTTTCGAAAAAGACAAAATTGGAAGGATCGGTCACAATGCAAGTTATTGAAAAAAAAAGTTTTTTTTTTCTGATATAATAAAGCCGCTTTGATTATTATTCTTTTAGGATTCAAAGATTAACCATAAATGGCTCATCAGCTTATAATCAATTGTTCTAATAACCCAATTCGAATTGTGAGAAATTTTCGAAAATGGAAGTCTCGAGACCTCACATGACTGCCTTTTGCGGCATTGAGGAACCGTGGCGCTTTAAGTAAATAATTATGTCAATTCTTTATTCTGAATTTATATTTTATCAATGGGTGAGATAAATTTCAAATTTTGACTCATATAAAATGAAAGAATTATAATGTAACCTTCTATTATTATTTATTTTGATTTTCGAGTAATCAAAATAAAAGTCTTTGATGATTTCATTTCTTTCATTAGTTATCCATTTCAACCTTGAAGGTTGTGCAAAAAAAAAATTTTTTAAATCATTCAGTTCATTCGTTATAAAGGTTACCAATCGCTAGGACCCATGAATTTTTAATTCATACAGATTTGTTTGTATTTATTTTATTGTATTTTTATATTTTATATAAATTAAATTAAACAATTCATCAAAGGTCCACGTAAAAACCATATATTTAATTTATATGCCGAATGCCCGAGTTGAAAAATTTATTACATATGATAATTATGCATGCTATGTGTTTTTTCTACATCTTGGCAAAAATTCTAGTCGTATAAAAAAGCGAATAAATGTTTCACATGAATAGCGTATTTATCGTTTCTTTCTAAAAATAAAATTAAAAAAAAGTAATATACGCCCCAAATGAAGATCATAGATAATCTACGATTTCTACAGATCGATCAGATGCTGAATTTTCTAACGCAAGAAATGATTCTGATCACAAACCACAAGCTAAAGGAACTTTCAGTGAAAATTCACCAACTATTTAACAATCTATATTATCGGGCATGATTATCTATAACCGCAACATTGTGCCCCATAAAACTTCAACTCCGGAATTTGTGCAGGCCATGGAATATTTGTACTTCTCGCATGGTTTGCAGGCATTTTCTTCTCATTTTCACAAAGTTTCTATAAAATATAGTAATAAGGATATATTGATGCGGATTAATTGAATCGATCATTAATATACTGTATATAAATAGTCAACTATATAGTGAATTCAACAGCCCCATCAAGCAAAACCCGGAGAAAAATTTCCCGAGCACCATTAATATCTCTATCATCACTATTCCACATTTATTACATTTAAACAATTTGTTGCCACCCAGGTTATATTTAATAAATCCATAACAATTGCATAAAAGCAAGTAGAAATTAAAAATGATGAAAAAATGAAAATAAAGTGAAAAAGAAAATAAACAACCTGCAAGTTTTACTTGTATATGCTTCATTTTGAATGATGACCTTTTTACCTAACTTTTTAGCCTTGAAAACAAGATGATTACGAAATCGACTGTGAGCCCATGTAAGCATTTTGCGAACTGTTTTTGAATTGATTTTTTTATTAAGACGATGAGATCCATCAAAAGGGGGTATAATAATAACATCAAAGTTTAAAAGAAACCACAAGGCAGCTTCCTTATGACATTCATTAATAAAATTTGGATGTGAAGCCGTAAACAGGCCTGAACTCTTTTTATTGAATATCTCTTTTTAGGAGGAGCACAAGTAGTTCTACAAATATAAATAATTTAAGTATTTTATAAAAGAATAAAATATATATAAAAATAATATACTGAAAAAAAAATAAGATCATTCAAAAATCAAGACAAACGGATTATACAATTAATATCTATGTTACCAAACCAATCACATTCTTTGGATAGAAAATACTAAGACTAACCAGTATAATACCAGGATCAATAGCAACAATATTGAGGTTTTTAGTGATTTGGATATCATCACAATTTTTAACATTATAAAATAAAAGATAAATTAATAGTAGTTATTTTTAAAAAAACTATAGAAAAAAGTTAAACATACTATATACCCAAGTAAAAGTTCAATAATTTAATTATTTTTAAACATTAACTTTGAATCCCTTAAAACCTTTCCTTTCAATTTTGGTTATTTATGATTTTTTTAACAATGTTCATGAAAAAAAAAAGGATTTTTGTCTTTATAATGATTTATTGATTTAATAATTTTTTTATTATAAAGCAGATAGATATAGAATATAAATAATTTATAATAATTATCCTATTTTAATAAAAATTAATAAAAATTTATTATTAATGATAATGTATTATATTTATATAACTATCAAATATTTTTTTATACTATACTTTTTTTGAAAATGAAAATAATGTTTTTTATTATTAATTTCATTATTTTGACAGATAACTTCATCTTAGATTTAAATTGCATGTACAATAGTATAGTCAAATACTTCATATAAGTAGTTTTTATAAAATTTTATTCAAAAATATGTGAAATTTTAAATTAAAAAAAGATTGAAACCAAAATTATTAAGTTAATAAATAATCATAGTTAAAATTTATAATAATCATATTATAAATAAATATATATAATATATAAGATTAAAATTATAATATTTTTAAATAAAAATAAAATACCTAGTATAACTCATTTATTGTTTTAACAGGTAAAATCTAATCTTTAGAGATCAAATTAAATTGATTTTTTTTTTTAACATTTTGAGTAATAAATTAATTTTAATTACTTTTTGTATTTTCTGTTATTATTTTTTTCATTTTTATTAATTCAATATAATATGTATTAATTTGTCAATATTAAATAAATAAAAATAAATAAATAAATTTTAAATAAATCTAGCTAATTATTTTTCTTTAGTAATAAGGATATCTTAACAGAGTTTAATTTTATTATTAGAAAAATTATTTTATAAAAAACTAAAAGTCTTATATCATTGAATTTAAAAATATATTTGATAATATCACATACAAATTAATATAATCAGTTCTTATAAGAATTATAATTTTTGTGATTATTTTGTGATTTGTTATTTTAATATAATTTATAAATAAGATCTTTTAAAGTTGATTCTACTTTTAATATTTAAGATGAGTTTGTATTGAGAATACTATTATTATCTTTAAAAATTTTCTTTTATTTTGTACTTAAAATTTATGTATAAATATAATTTTTTTATATGATAAAGGAGATAAAGAAAAAGAAAGATAAAGTGATAGTGATAATAATTGTATTATTGAATAAGAAATAAAAGCATAACTATCTAATATAGGTATTTAATCTCTATATATAATGAAAGAATAATTCAAAGATTATAAAAATAATGATATTAATTATTGATCAGATAAAGAAAGAAAATCTAGATTTATAAATTTAAGTAAATATAACTTTGCTGATTAAGATTTAGAATTGTGAAAGATATTAACTTAAAGTTTGTTTTCAAATAGTTATAAAGATAGTTTCATATTTAATAAGTAATTCTATTAAAAAGCTTTACATTTATATTATATATATAGAATAAAAGTTATTACTTTTTTAGACTTAATAATTTTTTTATTCTTATCATAACAATTATAATTTATTATTATCATAAAACTACTTGATTTCATAACTTTTTATAATATATTTATTATTTCTTATATATCAACATAAAAAATCAATGTGTATTAAAATTAAATTCAAAAATAAATCTAAGAGATAAAGATCAAGAATTCATTTCTTAAATTCTTTCAAATTAATAAAAATGAAAAATCATTTTTAAATGATTTATTATTCAAGAAAAATGTAATTAACAAGATTTTAAATTATTAATTGTTATCAAATTTGATTATTAAATTTCATAAATTTTAGATATAATATTAATATATTTTAGTTTTATCATAAATGTCATTAGTAAAAATTTTGATTTATTAAATATCAGTATAATTAAAGATTTTTTCTTTTTATTTTTTATTTTTTTAAAAGAAAAAAAACTAAAAAAAAAAATTAATGAATTAATAAAGAATTAGCTTCTTTTTAATTTGTATTAAATAAATAAAAAAATATTATAATAATAAATAATTATAAAAATTATTTGAATAAAAAGTTTTTAAATAAATGTAATTTTTAATTTATATTAAACAAATAAAAAATATTATAATAATAAACAATTATAAAAATGTTTAAATGAAAAAGTTTTTTGAATAAATATAATTAAATTAAAGTCCTTATATTAGTTAATATAGTTAATAAAACTAATAATGATAAAAATAATAAGAAATAAAAAAATATAAATATTATTAAGATATAGTTTGTAAAATTGTAAAAGTAAAGTTCTTAATGAAAATTAATTGATAGTTTAATTTTTAAGAATATTAATTATAATTTACTATATTTTAATATTAATAATAAAAATTAATTATAATAATACAGCAATTGTAATCAAATATATAATTTATTAATATCAATAAAATCACCTATCATAATAATTAGAAATTTTCTTTTATAATAATATTATAATTTTTATATAAATTTATTTTAATTTTATTTAATAATAATTTACTTTTTTATCATTATTATAATAAAATAATTAAAAGTTTTGTAATTTGAAACAGGTTCTCTAAATATATCTTATTATATAGGTTTGATATTTTAATATCAAAGTTTTGCAATTCTTAATATAAGAATATAAAAGTTAGCTGAATTATAAAATACAGATTTTAAATAATAATAATTTATCTTTTTATACAGATTTACAATAAAAATTACTTTCAAGTATAAACTTATAATAAATTTTTACTTTTGTATATAGATTTACTTTAGAATTATAGGGTTTAATATACAAAAATTCATATTAAAAATGTTTAATATACTTTTTATCATTTCATTTCTTATTTTTCTTTATCAACAATTTAAT